GCGGTTCGTCTTCAACGCGTTCTCGGCCCGCTTTGAACTTGACCACTTATAAATGTTCTTTTGTGCCATAGTTTGATCACCAAAGGCCTTCCGCAACATTTTCAACGTGTCCGCACAAGAATATTCGTTCCGCAAACAAAATTTGATGCAAGTTCTTTGCTCAACAAAATCACCCATTGTAAAAATCGAAAAATTCACTTTTGGTTGTTTACAAATACACGTGTAACTCGGAGATAATTAAACCTTTTGACAAACAGACGCTTGGCAATTGTTATAGACAGTCCTACCAACCTAGGAAAAAAACAATTGCCTGCCTTCCTAATGTCCGGGAGTTTTAAATGACAATTTCACCTTACTTTTTGATCACAGTAGTATATATATCCTACTGATATCCNTCTACATATTTATTAAAATTATGTTAATATGTTCAGCCTTCTTATATACACATATATATTTATAAGTATCCTACCCAAAATATATTCTTATATATATATATATATAATAAATAAAGAGGTATTTCACACGCACAACGAGTACACAAGTTATTTAGAAGTATCCTATTATATATATATAATATATAATATATATATACAANAAGGCAAGGGCCCGCTAGGATAGCCTTACTGATGAGTCCTCCAGCGGGTCCTGGACGAAACGTCTCCCCCTCTCCTTTTCTTCCAAACATAGTCACATTCACCTACCGCCAAAATATACTTATGTATACAATTTTTATATTATTTTTATTATTTTTACGTATTATTATGTATACAAATATATATAGAATATACAAGTTCGAGTATAACTCGAACTCGATCTAGTTAGAGAGAAAATACGAATGCTCGAGTAGTGCGATAATCTGTGGTTTTGAATACTTAACTTTAATGTCTTACGAATTTTCCGCATTACTTGTACTTGCTAATACTTAGCTGCATATCGTTCCAAGGTCTAGAAAGTTTATCTCGCAGTTTTAACAAGAGAAAACACTAAACATATGGAACAGGCATATTGTATTATACACATACGTTCTATACATAAGATACAAGTCCGACCTTCTGTTCATAAATTTGCTATTGAATATTGAAATTTGTCTACAAATAGGCATGTCCTAAAATATATTTGAGATTTATAGAGATCTGAAAGCAACATTGAAAACCTTCAAACACTGTCAAATGGTGATTTCGAGATCGTGGGTAAATGATAATAAAAAATATGACATTAATTTCAATTTAAGATCTAGAGTCAGTATGTCACTTGTCTGTAAACAAATATATTGTATGATGAATTTTTTTCATTGTTACAGACGACGATTCCAAGAGTGCATACGGCGTCGAATTTCGAGTAGACGGGATCAGCTATAAGGTCGCAGCAAAACGCGAGGTCACTTTATCTGCTGGCGCTAAACAATCGCCACAATTGCTCATGCTGTCCGGTATCGGCCCAGAAGATCATCTGAGGGCTGTAGGGATGAAAACTGTGCACGATGCACCGGGCGTGGGTAAAAATATGCAAAAATATGCATTCAATTTATTCGAGTCTTTCACCGAAAAAGACGTCGAGGAATTCGCCCTAGAGCGCACGAGACAATTATATGGGTTGCCAACCGCTGAGGCCATGATATTTATCAATAGTAATTATTATAGTGGTAAACAAGTATGTTGGAGAATTTTTATGTTCAGTGATGGAGATTGGGACATATCATGAGTTGGATTAATTAACAGCTCGTGGTCAACTAATACCATTAACAATGCTAACAGTTAACGTATTTTTCAATTTTTAATAATAATTTTTTCATTAATTGATGGACTCAAATCTATGAAGAATAATGTATGACTGCTTAGATTTCAATCTAAATATATCGTCAATGAATTATTTGAAATGTATTTAGAGAATAAAATAATCAAATCTTATACCGTCTATTCAAAAGGATTTGTCGGAATATAATGCGAATAATGAAAACAAAGCATTAATGCAAAAGTCAATCTCGAGTCTGATTCGACATAGGATTGCAAAAGGTTAACAATTCAAAAGACTATTCTGATCTAGAAGTTTTGCAAAATCGATTTTCTTTTTATTCCTTTTTTTCTATTAAGTATATGATTGTGAAAATGTACCCGTAAATAATTTTATTCTAATTATAAAAATAACGAAATTTGAATTATTTGTTTGAACTATTACTACAAACACATTAAACCATATACACTATTAAGAGAAACTTTAAACCTGATTTTCTCGGAACCCTACGCCCTGTGTGACACCCTACGCTAAAGAAACCACAAAAAGTTCTCAAATTTAAATCTTTGTATTCTTTTTAACAACTGGCTATTATCAAAGTCCAAAAAGCGAATAAACTGTTAAACTTGATATAATCTTGATAACTAAGAATATTTTGATTCTACTAATAAAATATGGAAGAATCTCAAATAGAAACACTGTTTGCTTTGAAGACGTAAGTGTTACGATAAACAAACACATTTTTTCCAACTTCATGCTTTCCCCCAATTTCAATTTTATCAATGATTATTTACATGGGAGTTTACATATACAGTTATACTTACGATGCAGCAACTAGAATCGAGATCGGCGTTACGTAAATTACCTTAAATGCCAGATAAGTTCGTTCGTGACGTCACGGATGAACAGTTCAGCAGAGTAGGTACTAAAGGGCAGCGTCGTCGACCGTCGCGACATGACCTGATCAATCACAAACGTGAAAGCTTTTCTGGCATCCCTGCTGAGCTCTAGATCTACCCTGCTAAGGTGGTTATCCGTGACGTCAGAGATGAAAACGCGTGACATTTTAGGAATGTCATGGCGACAATGATCAAGAGCTACTCAAGGACTGCTTCGTCAACTTGTATGCAAAAGAATTATACATGGAGGGGTATTAAAATTGCAAAACAATATAATCTTGTCAGAAACTGTTCGTTTATCGTAACATTTACCTCTTGAAATTACGAAGTGCTTTTTCTTTGTTTTTCTGAAAGTATTCCCGTTTAAGATTCTTTGATATTATCAGTGTTGAAATTTTAGCCTCGAACAAAAATTAATCTATAGTTTACTTAGTACTAAGTTACTAAGATATCGGTTTACATTTTCGTCGGTTCCGTCAGCGGGCAACGACGGTGATGTAAACTGTATATAGTAGATACCGCGATACATCATCACCGGTACCATTAGATATACATCGTACCCTGACTGTTTGGGGGTCCCAGCGTCACGTATACAATGTGAAACGCGACAAATAAAACGTCTCTGATTGGTGGACAAGACGAACCCAAAAAGGGTATAAAAGAAGCGTTTTTTCTTGCCGGACTCTCAGTAGAGTTTGGTCGCTCGATCGTTTTCGCCCATATACCTTCTCTCAATAAAGGAATAAAATAAAGTCCTTTTTAAGAAAAGAATTAGAATCATATTCATTTTCATTCCATAATCCCAATAATCAGTATAATCAAAATATCTTTAATGATGAAGGTTATGTTAAGGTTATCAGTTTATTCCCTTTTCGGATTTTGATAATAACCAGTTTTTAGAAAGTATGCAATGTTTGAAGTTTGAGAATTTTTTTTTTCCCTAGCGTAAGGTCTCACAAACGCACACAGGTCGTATGGTTCCGAGAAAATCAGATTTAAAGTCTCTCTTAGTAGTGTATATGGTTTTTACTTTAGCATTTTCTCACATTATCCAAAACGGGTATAGAATAATATATAATAACCTCTATAACAATTAAATTATAATAATCATTAAATTGTAATAATAATTAAATTACAAATATAATTAAATTATAATAACTAAATAATAATCTCCATAATAATATC